AGGAGGGATTTTTGAGGAAATACAAACCAGCCTTTTTTAATGCATAACAAAAAAACAGAAAAAGAATTTCCCACCTTATTGTCTAAAAATCAATAACTAAATAAATAAATAATTGAAATCCAAGTTGATATATAGCTTATCTTACTATTTATCTGCACCCCCTGTTGAAGTTTTTAATGGAGTGTTTTTTAAGCTGATAAGATGTTTGTAATTCCCCAAAATCTAACATTACAACAACTTACTAGTAAAATATGCTTTCAGCTTCGTGGCTGTACGATAAGATATCAGCACTGTGGCAGCAGCAGTGCAGACTAAGGCTGTACGCACAAGTGCTATTTTTGCTAAAGTCTGAATCTGGCTGTCTGCCTGTCTATATCTGTGCTCTGCTGGCTTTTGATTATGCAAATACTATGCACTATAAATGAATTAGTACACTTGCATCTGAAACCTGCTTCAAAGCGTGTAAATAATACATTTGGTGTCACTGCATAATTCATTCTCTATTAATTACATACACAAGACTGCGTGCTATACTCTGCATTTAGATGGTGTTAGGGTGTTAGGGCAACGCACACTCAGATGTTGTTTTCTTAAATATAGAACACATTGTGTACACAACCGCAATCTGTCAGTATCTAGATACTTGCTTCCAAAGTGCAGTTTTAATTCAAATTGCCTCTCATTGTTTTCATAATCATTTCCTATTATAAAACTATCTCTGCATTGTCATCCTAACGCAATTTCCAAAACTCTACTGGCTTTAATCGTTGAATTAGTAATTCATTTTTGAGCGGGCTCTGATTGTGTAAAACACAACGCCCTTTTTCATTGTTTTTCCCCTCCTTTTTCATATCAAGTGCCTCTGTAATTATGTATGAGAGGAGGGGCTTCGCAAAAAAAATTAAATAAGCGCAAATATTTTAGACGCGCATCCCCTACAATTAAAATATGCCCATCGTCGCGCGCTTTGTAAGGCATGTGGTATTGAGGCCGGGCTACAAATTTGAATACGGAGAATCGTTTGAAAAATATATGCTGTTCGGCAATTAAATTATATGAGCACTTGGATGAGGAAGCACTACCACTGCATATAGAATGGTGAGCAGTAGTTGCTACGCTCGCATTAGCATCTGGCCCTTTTATGTAAATTTGATGAGAAAGGACTCATGCATATACGCCAGGGCTGGGGTGTACTCGCCTAATATCCTTATTAGAGAGGGATGAATTAAATATTTATTAGGGGGGCTAAGGGTTAGGAAGGGGGGTGGGGGTGGGGGGGCTGTCCTGTGTTGTCATGAGGACCTGAGGAGAAAGAAGGGGGGGAAAGGGAGGAGGAGACTGGCTTTCTGTAAGAGTGTCTCTCTCTGCCTCAAGGTGCCACCATCTTAAGGCGTTTGGCGGTAGTGAGATTGTGGGGAGGGTAGACCTAAAATGTCCGCTGGCATAGACACACGCACGCATACACATTAATGCATACAAATTTCCGTGAAGCATGTGGATAGCACACAGATCTGAGAGTCAATTATTCAGATACTGTCGTCGGCAGCTATGCATGCCGAGCATTTCATTTGCATCTATTAATTCCTTCGATTACTGTCACTTAGCAGATCGACCTGTGTTTAGCTTTCTGTTGCTCGCCGCTTATTGTGTACGAGCGCTAATACCAGCACTGCGGCTATCACATTTGCTAATATTTTGGGAATTTCAATTTGGCACGTCAGTGTATTTTTATCCCTGGAAACAATTTTCAGCGGAGCCTTCGTTAAGGCCTCGATGAAAGCACTGTAATGAGACACTCCAACTATTTCCTTATAGGTATATCTATATAGATATATATAGATATATCTATATAGATATAGATATGAAAAAAGAACTAAATTGTGTGCATTTACCATCTTTTTAAAACATTAAGCAGTTCTTTAAGTTGTTTGATTGCTATGATTTTCAAACACTTGCCAATTTAAAAGTACTTTTTGTATATAATATAAATACATGGCTTTGCTTACTTAAACGTTATAGATACAAGATGCAGCATTTTACCTTAAGTGAGAATTTAGAGAATTTTTTGAAAATTTCAAAAATGACAATACGAACGCTACAGAGCAGGCTAAGAAAGGCACTGACAATATTGTAAGTTTATGTAAATGAACGCTTTACTGTTCTCCCTATCATTTTCTGTCTCCTTCTCTCTTACTCACTCTCGCTGTCACATACACACACTTTAGCTGACCTCTCCTATCTGTTAATTATCATAAATGTGCTTAGTGAGCTGGCACACACGGGCACAAACGGGCACGCGCACACACACACACACACGCAATCACATCCCCAGCGCACAAACACACATTGTGCAGTCAGATACAGACGCAGCATTAGCATTCCCTTTCATCGTGAAGTGCTCCTGAGCATGAAAAAGAATGTGCAGGAAATTATTCAAGATGAATTATGCCACACATCATCCCAAGGATTCAGGCAAAGACACACACACACACACACACACACATACAATGACAAATACGCACACACAGCTTACACGCCAAAAAATATGGGGCTCACCAATCTGGGGAAAGTATGTTACCGAAGGAAATTTGGCTCTCGCTACAATTTCAAGATTTAGCTTAAAATGACCGTTAACTCCCGTACGTGGATGTGCATTGCTGTTAGTCTATTCATTTGTGAGTTGCCATCCTTATACATTGAAACTGTCTCAAAGATTACGTGTAATTATTCCCATGTGAATTCTGCGTCCTTGCACACTTGCCTGTTGTCCCAGTTTTCCATGCATAAAGTATGTACACAATATCAGCTGATCCCCTTCCCTACCTCCCGGTTTCCTCTGATGAGTGGTATGCCCTGGCGCATTGCCAAAGATGTGAGAATAATTAAAAGGCTGTGAGTTTGAATCTCGCGTTGGCTAATGGATTGTTACTGAGAGGAAATGAGACAGGCAGCATGGGGGAGCTGGGTGGCAAAGCAGACCTTGACTTTGGATAATGAAACACTGTAAGCCACGGTGGTGGAGAGAAGACACACCTCTCATAAAGCAAATGCTTTTGTTCTGCGACTACTCCCTTTTGTCATATAGGCAGGTGCAATTGGAAGGTGTCGCACAATGTGGGAAAGACACCGTCAATCCTGCGTCACTTCAGTCAAAATAGTCGTAATTTTTTCCCCATTTTAATTTACAATCTCTTCCAAATCTCTGCAGCTCACTTAAATGGTCTTTTTAAAAAAAAATGTTTCTCCACACAAGATAATCATTTTATGGCTCGTGTACATTTCCCTTTATGTTCTCTTTTATTGCCTCGGTGCGCGATTGCCTGTGATATGTATACGTCTGCAATTTGCATTATATTTAGCATCCAATGCATCACCACAGTGTCGCTTAAAAGAAAGCCGGCTTGAATTTTTTATTTTTTTTTTGGTAGAGTGTAGCACCTCTACCAGCCCCCCAATCCACCCAACACACATGTAGGCTCAAAGCGTTGTGGTGGGGAGAGCAAGGGGAGCAGAGCGAAGCAGGGAGATAGAGGAGCAGGAGGGAGATGGGATGAGACAAGTCACACAAGCCGCAAAGGGAACAGGGTGAAGGTGGAGGGGGAATGCTGTATAGTTACCCTAAACTCTGCCGTAGGGCTAGAAACACACATAGACACAGCAACACATGAATGCAGACACTTACACACGCACACTGGTTTGCCACACGACCGCAAGACACACTCAGAAATATGTGGAACATTGCAGTGGGGAGTATGAGAATATGCACCGATATCTCAGTGATTTATTTATTTATTTATGTTCCTTTTTTTTGTTCTTTTTTTACTCCCAAAGTCTTGATTGAATTTAGAGATGCAAGACTTCCACGTTTCTTTCAGGGTGCTTGATATCAATGCGCTTGTAAAACCTGTATTTGATGAAATAAAAAGGCAAGTAAATGGGAAAAATAAGATGTCGTAGATGCATTATTAATTACTTCATACAGCACGCACTGCAAGGGTGAATGTGTTGTTTTGCACATGCGCGAGAGCTTTAATACAGGGCTCTAATAAAATGTGGCACCTGTCAGTTTGACACTGACTCGCTAAAAGAGTCTCGCAATCACTTGGGAACACAGGAGGAAAGAAAGCCAGTCTAAAGTGACTACATAGTAGCCTACAGTATATTTCTGTACATAGCCTCCTAATGAGTCATAAGCACCACATGAGAGCGGCGAAACCTAAAGAAGTGTTATGTCTAAAGTGCACGCTTTGTCATCCATGTTCAACTTTCTGACATCGGGCCAATTTTTTAACTGACTTCTGTCTCAAGGTGAGGAGAGTTCCACCGGTCATATTTCATATACAGGGGGCAAAAGGACAGAAAATGAGAAGCTAAAATGAAATACTCCTGATTGTTTAAGGATGTGTTCAGGTTCACATGGTGGCTCGCTGGATAAAGTCACAAATTAAGTCTCAAACTATCCTCATAGGCTGCTGCAGTCTGTAATGACCATCTCTGACCTCAAATGCATTACTCAAACAACATGGCTGCAGAAAGTGTGTTGGCATACACCAGAGATAATCAGGCAGTTTACAAGAAATAGCAGACTCTTTTAATATTATAGCGTTAAAACGCCGCAGCAAAAACTTTAACATTTGAGCAAAGATTTATAATGATATTTTGAAGTATGCAAAACTGCTTGCCATGACCTTCAAGTGATACGCAAGTCAGCCGTTCATGTTCTGTAAGGTCCCAGGTTTGGCGTACTATTTGTGGCAAAGAGTAAAGGTTGAGAAGACATTTGCACAAAGTTATTGCCAATTGGAATTCCTCCAAGCAAACTTCGCTATGCTAGCTATTTCCCTCCTTAACCATATAACTGTGTGTTTGCTGTCATTCTGATGTTTTTTGGGTGAAAACCCGTTAATTGTGATTTGCTCGGGAAGAGCTGTTCAACAAGTAAAGGTTACCGCTTGGTAAACACTCCCTGCTTGTGTTGTGTATGTCTTTCATTGCTGCAGTGCTGGAGAAAGGGAGCTGAGAGAGGAACTGCTTGCAGCAGGAAGTAGAGGTCAACACAAGATTTCGGGGGTTTTGCTCTCTAATGGACCCACACGAGGTGAGCTTTGGTTAATAAACCAAGTGTGTGTTTGTGTGTGTGTTGTTGGTCTAAACTGTTCGAAATGAACGTGTATGAACATTTAGTTTTAGTGTATTTTGTGTATCTATCAGAAACATAAGTTTACTGTGACCTCTGGTAGTTCAAGGACAAAACATTTCAGTAAAACACTCTGTACCAATTTCTTGCTTGGCTTTTTATTAATAATTGCTTTATTCTATAAAACATAATTGAATTATCGATTTGCTAGACACATGTTGCGGTCTTATTATGCATTTGAAACTCATTTGGATGTTTTGAATACAAAATAATAAAGAATTTTGTTGGAACATCCAAATTTCTTTGTTGCCAGTTGTTTTGACTGATTTTTTTTCCTCTATGCCTATCTCCACCGATGTGTGTGTGTGTGCGTGTGTGTGTGTGTGTGTGTGTGTGTTTGCCTGCAGCAAAGTTAGCCCGTGTGTGTTGGATAAAGGCATAGATGTTAGCAGTGGTCCAGAGGACACAGTAAACAGAATAACAGCGGTTTGAAGGGAGCTCAGGCAACGTGATCGTGGGCAATATCAAATCCCATGACCCATTCTTTGCCCTGTGGTCGATACCAAAGACAACAAGCACGGGGGAAACAGAGGTTACTGCTCACTATTCATCATCACAACAATGCACACACAAACAGTAACTACAACCAGGAAGTGATTGCAAAAGAAACATCTCCTCTAGCTACCAGAACCCGCACATTAACACTAATTACGTGCAAGGCATCTTGCTGTTCACATGCAACATTTTTATGCAATCGTAGGCAGACAGATATTTTAATGATTAGTTTAATGAATGGTTCTCATAAGAATGAAATTCTTTCTAAATTAGCTGACAGCAAGAGCAAATATTCCTCATAATATTCCATATATATATATCATATATTCTTAGTTTGATTCTTGCTGATGCTGAAAAAAAGAAAAAAAAGAAAAAGAAAGAAGAAGCGCCGGTATGGTGGCATATTAGCACCCTTAGGTCACAGTGCCCTGTGGCATTACTGTTCTTAATTACTCCCAGTACTCGTACACATTCGGTGGACTTCTCAGAAGAGCCAATTAGAAGGTCAGGGCAAGTCACTTGGTAGGAGCAGTCACTGCAAAAGTCTGTAGAAGTCTTAAATTTCACCCTCATTCTCTTTCCCTCTCTCACACAACTTAGACAACACAAAAACATTTACACTGTAAATCTTCCTTTAGTCATATCTGTCGACCATTAAAACAAGCACTAATAAAAAATAAAGGATGTCTGCTACACAGTATTGTTTGTTTATATTCCATCACCTCATTTGTTATGCTATAGTCATAATCATCTATCAGTCATGCAGATTTGAAGTACAGCTGCTTACTATTAGGGTGCCAGCGGGAGTAAGTATTTATAATGTGCCGCCTGCATTCAGCGAAACCCTCGAGTCTTTGCAGGCCGGCTTCTGTATCATCAGTGCTATCCCACAGCGATTAATGAAGTCATCTGCATGTGTCTGTATGATTAAGGAGCACTAAAGTGTCATTGTGTGTATGTGTGTGCGAGTGCGTGCGTGCGCGAGCGCGCATGTTGTCTGGTCTTCGTAGATAAAACAACAGCACAGAACAAAAGATGCCAGCATACGAGAAAGCATCGCATTCGTCCAATCCCAAAGAGCAAAATACCAATTTTGCACAGTATTAACAGCACAGTAAATATGAAGGCTTCATTCTTCATGATCAGGTTATACAAGAAGAGACAATTTAAAAAAAAAAAAGAAAAGGATGAGTAAAATCAAAGTGGAAATTAAGGGAGAAAAAGTGAATTATTTAAAAAACACACTGTAAAATACTGAAAGTTTTTTTTTCTCCCTCTCTCTTTCTCTTCAATGATTTAGTTTCCATCTATAATTTTCCTATTTCCTATTTGTCAAGTAATTCCATATTTCATGCTTGGATGCAATCCTTTCCCCATGCTATATATTGCAGATGCTCATGCCTCTTAGCGATAGCATAATATGTCTTTTCCATGCTTGTTCAAAAATTCCACAAAACTAGAACATCCTCATCTCTTTTTTTCCCCACTCCCACCCCCAACACCCTTCATTCTAATCACGGATGCACCAGAGGATGAGTTTGGTATTTGTGCACATCTCATCTTATCAATTCATAATTAAAATATATAAAGCTACAGTTCTTTTTTTCCCCCTTTTCATATAATATCTAAGTAGCTTTCAGTGGGCTGTGTAATAGCGCTGCTTAGGGAGGCTTTCTTCTGCATCACCATACAGTCAGAACAAAGGATATGCACATCGTAAAAATCATGCAAATACATGCAAATTGCTGGCAGCAAGAGAAAGCGTAGTAGCAGGAGGGGGGGAGTTTGTATAAGCAGAGAGGGATGCCAAGGACTTTGTATACAACACTCACACACACATTCTTTCTTTAAGTTGTGTCATATAACTGAAGAATACTGCTTTTGAATCTCATTGTAAATCTCTTCTCAAGACTTTCTCCTTATAAATTCCTCTTTATTTCTGTTTACCCGCAATGCATAAACGATATATGGATTTGTATTATTTGCGGAGAACCGCGTTCCATTTTTATGATGCAACAAAATGTATAGTGCTCATTGAGGACGCTATTGTAAATGCAGTGAATGCAAATGTGATTCACTGGCTGCAAAAAGCATGCGTGTGTCTGTGTGAGCGTGCGTGCTGGGATGATGCAATATTTTGGCTGCACCACCTCAGAAAAATGCAGAGCAGATATTAGTGACACCATGCTAATAACGGTCACACCCCTCCTCCTTGCCATCACAGTGAAAACTTTATCGTACGTGATACAGAAACTGTAGGGATTAGGTGAAGACAGCCAGGTCCTTTTCCCTCTACCTCTAAAAAGCAATATGCTTGCATTATATTTCTTGATATTAGAATTGGCTGTTAATGTGGATGTTCAGAGCCATGACAGGGTTACTGCATCATCACGGTTTCATCAGCATAGAATTCCTTAAAGAATAATTTGTGGTCTACTAAACTCAAAGTCACATTGCTTACATCCTAAATTGCATAGCATTTTTTTTTTTTAGATGAAATGTTTTTTGTTTAGTTTTTTCTTGAAATGTATTTATGGGTTTAGATTTCCCTGCTTGTATTTCATTTTCATACCTTATTTGAATATAAATCCTGCAGTTACCCAATAAAATCCTTATCAACAACTGAACATTTTGCACAATATATTTATTTATGTGAAATTAATTCCTGTAGCATCTCACCCCGATGACCAAAGCTGATCAAGACAACAGTCAACAGTCAGTAATGCCTTCTGCTCGCCTGCAAACAATCATATTTAAATAACACCGCCCTCTTTCAGACACACACGTGCACACATACACACACGGACCAACCCGCAGACACAATATGGCAGGGGAGGAAAAAAAGGGGGGAGGGCACACACAGAAACACACTCACAATTGTGCATAATGATGTTAACATTCCTGCATGTCTAATGCAGGGGATATTGAGACAGACACTAGCTGGTCTGCAGTCTCGCTGCACATTGTGTGTGTTCACGGGTATAAACGGTAGCAGGGCATAATGATGTATTAACTGTGGCTTGCTCTCGCTCTCAGTGTTTGGGCTCCTTGCTGAGGTTACTACAAGACTATGTTAATCTTATGCAAGATCACGCTGCGCTTTATTTTCTAGTCTGCTGCGTTAAATTTTAGGTGCGCTGCTAAAGAAACATCCGTGTTTGCTTTGGTTTTTGCACAGAATTGCAACCAATAGACCATTTATTGCTTTTTGCTTTCTTAAACGCTTATTCATTTTGGAGTGATTAACCAGATTTGCAAAGCTATTTAAATATTGCATGTAAACGAAAGAATAGCAGTGGGTGTAGCATTCCAAGGTTTTAGCAGATAACAGCTAAATTTAAAAAAAAAAAAAAAGCCAAGTTGATACAAATTAAAACATCATCATCCTTCATCATATTTATTCACAAAGAATATCTTAGAGGGTGTGGCCAATTTGAAATGCAAGCAACATCAAGTGTGGCACATATTTTTCAAGTTCCTTCCAAATAAAATCTGCACGAATATGGATATGAAAATGGAGCGGCTAGATCATAAAAGATGGAAACAAAGAAGGACAGACAGCATATACTGGCAAGGACAGGCAAAAGATGAAGCTCATTTTTCCATGGGCACCCAGTGGCGTCTGCATTGCAGATCGCTAAAATCCCCCTCGAATGCATCCCTGGGCTTAAGGAGGGTGGAGTGGGGAAGGGTGAACAAGGGCTGGGTTTATGCTATCCCTGCTTTGGTACACTTTGTTTTTTTTTTTTTTTCCTTCCCCCACCAAAATATATTTTTTTCTGTCTGCATCAAATGTCAAGTTAATTTCCTGGGCGCTATGAGGGATGTGTCCTCCCCTTCGGTATGTGTGGCAGGGTGGTGGATTGTGTCAGGGTGCTTTGCGTGCCGGTGTGTTTATGTGTGCGTGTCTCTGTGTGTGTGTGCGTGTTTGTGTCTATATGGGTGAATGGGGAAAGGAAAAGGGGCATGGCAAGGCAAAGAGAGAGATGAGAGGTGGTGGTGGGGGGTTCAGTACAGTATGTATAAATTGGTTCTCTCTGAAGAGCTAGAGAGGTGTGTTGAAAGTGTGCATGCTTGTGTGTGTATGCAAGTGTGCCTGGTTGTATAAGAATATGATCCAATTATTAATAGATACTTTTGGCAATGTAGCCCTGGCCATGTACCTGTCATTTTCCTTTTTCTTTTTTTTTTTTTGTGAATTCATATGTTCCGGTCTTTTGAAATTTCATCTGAATTGAATACTAATGCAAAAAGGAGAGGAGAAAAAAACACAAGGTATACAATAACAGGCATAACAGCATAACTCAATGAAATCTAGAAAAAAAGCAGAAAATCTTACCTTGCATAAATTTCCTAACAATATAGTTTCGATTGGGGTTGTCTTAGAGGATTGTTTGTGGTTTAAA